TGTTCTGCTGGCAGAGAGGTTGGTTGCTTCCAGGTGGTGCTGTTTGGAGGCTGATCCAGTTCTCCACCAGGTCTCCTGGCATTTCCCTCCCTGGGCTCACAAGGCTGATGTGCTGCAGGGAAAGGGGTGGCACAGTATAAGGACAGAGGGGTTCAGGTCACCTCAGAGCTGCTGAGCAGATGGGAGCCTGGGCTGACTTTCAGGCTGTAATAGCAGTTTGCAGAGCGGGCAGGGGGAAATGAGATATTCAAAACTCTGAACTTGTTTTGATGCTGGAGCTACAGTAATAGCCTTGGACATGCACTGTGCCATGCTTTCAGAGCAGCTATGGGAGCCTCAGTGGGGAGCCACTGGATTTTGGGAGGTAGAATACATTTGTGTGATTCATAGACAGAGGAGCGGATGGTCTGGATGCAGCTGAGCTGGATTACTTCTCCGGCTGAGAGTCAGGCATCAAAGCTGCTCATTTATGTCAAATATTTTCTGCAACTGTAACACAGCAGAGTTAGATCCATTATTGCCTGTACGTCAAGCATGCAGGCTCTGTTGTCACCCTGATGGTAATTTTACAATGCTCCTATTGAGTAAAAAACATCAGAGAGAGACTGCAGAATTCACCTGATCCCATCTCAGATAACTGGGCATCTGCTTATATTTAATGCTCCTTTTCAGGGGTTACTGACTTTCCAGAGTTACTGTTCTTCCATCAAGAAGTTTATTTTGATCATCTGCCTGGCATATCTACTGTCAATCTGTCCAGCACTTTGGTATTGTAAATCTAGGTTTCTTTTGATGGTTGTTGATGCCAGCTCATAAATCCCTATGCTGCAAAGAACTGCATAGCTCAACAGCTTGGGCTTCCTTTGGAGGTGCTACTTGTCCTCCTGCACTTCCCTGGAGTGGGCACACAGGTTTACAGGGACCATAAATAAAATAGCTATTGGAGTCATTGGTTACTGCTTCATGCCTTATTCTCCCTGGAGACCTGCAGCTAAGCTGGGAGAAGCAGGGGAGAGTTCTTGCACTTTTCTATTTCAGACATTTTTATGTTTCTTTTACCCCTCTCTCTGTGCTTCTCCCCATATTTCTTGTTCTTGGAGTGTGATTCATGTTCCTCTAAGGAAGTGGCCACATCTTGTTTCTAAGGGCTCCGTAACAAAAAACTGAGATGCCCTTTGCCCATTATCTGAACGCTTATTAGCAGAAAGAATGAGGGCGTCTGCCATCATCTGCAGACCCTGCAGGTCCCTGATTTGCTTCTATGGGATCTGCAGAAGATGTCTGAAAAAAGTGAGTTTCTCGTCAGAGTCTCCAGCTCTCTCCCTGGGGATGTGCACCACAGTGGAAACTGAAAATCAGAGGTCTGAAACCTCCACTTTGTAGTTTCTAAACCACTCCTGGATGAGTGTGGGTGAGTGAGTGTGGCCCCAGGTCCCAGGACCAGCCTGGGCAGCATGAGAAGGAGCAGCAGAACTGGCAGGACAGAGGGAGCTATTCATAGGGGCACCTTCACTGTTTTGTAAGCTCTGACCAGAATACTGCGTTGGCATGCTTTTTGTTCCTTCACAACTCTCATTACTATTAAAACTCAAGCTGGTGTCCCAGCACAGGGTATCGCACTGCCCTGTTCCTGTGTGCTGTCTTCCTACCGAAGCTACACTTTCTGCTCTAGGAACCCTGGCTGAGTTACCATTTCCCATGGAGTCAATGAACTGTGAGGTCTCACATTCTGACAAGCATCACCGCTGTGCTGGTGGAGATAACAGTCTGGGTGATGCTATGGTACCAAGCAGGGCATCAGGGGTGAGATGGGTGGAAGCAGGCCTGCCCTGGGAGCTGTAACAGCCCAGGACAACATGGCACACTCTATGCCACTGAGTAGGTAAATATGTTTGTCTGCCACATGTGGAAAGTTATACAAATACCATCTCTCATCAAAAACTCCCACTTGTGCCAGCTGCCTGACAGTGTCTGGATGGCAGCTCTCATCTGTGTGCTCCTGGATGAGTGCCTGCCCTGAGAAGAAAGGTGCCCTATGGAGGACGACCTGTACTCTGGAGGGGTAGGGGCCACCAGGGCAGTGCAGCGGGGAGAAACCGTGTGATGTTAATGAGTCTCTGGGGTGGGAGATCCAACTGGATCCTATTCCATAATCCTTAATCCCAGGACTTGAGCCAGCAGGAAAGTTTATGGAACTAGGAACCCCAAGGGTTTCAAAAGATGCAGGTTTTCAATTCTTTCAGCAAGAAGCCCTGCCCCAAGCCCCAGGCATACAGTAATGGTTGAATGCAGCTTTGCTGCTTTGAAGGACTGTTAAACTGCCTTAGGCGTTATGGGAAGCCCTGTGCACCTCTTAGGTTACTCCCAAAGCACCAAAACTGATGTTGGTCTGACCCCATTTCCCTCTCTCCTGAGGGTGCCTGTAAACGTCTAAATCAAAGCCGCTGAAGTCCTCCCTAAAGCCCATGGCCCACCCCTCCATCTGGAGCGTCTGACAGCTGATATGAGGCTGATGTTTCCAGCTGAAGAACTGTAATAGATTGTTCTTTTCCATGATTCCCTTGGCAAAGGAAAACAAGCCCATTTGTTTAGAAGCTCATAAAAGAGGAGCTTTATAGTAGGAACATTCATAAACTTGTTTGCTTTTGACCTTCTCCACAGTTGCTGATGGTTTCGGGTTCTTGTCCCAGGCATTGTGCTTGTCTGGGCTGTCAGTGACATTTTTGAAAGGCAGCCTCACCCAGAGTAATTTGCATTGCTCAGTGCTCCAGCACTGAACCTTCAGACATACCATCTTTCTCCACTGCACTTCTGGGTAGGGTGTGCTGGTGCAGTACATTGACAGCCTTACAGACAGACTTCAGTGGCTGCTGAAAAGAAACCTGGCCCCTAATTCCATGCTGGGTTTTTTTCGCCTAGATCAGTTGATGCCTACTCAAGAGGCGGGCACTTCACAGGCTCTTAGGTTACTAAGCATCAAGCTTGTGCCGTTGGAGGGGGGACAGTTGTTAATCGTGCCCTTAAATTAATAAAAACCTATTCTGTGAAGGCAAGAAATAAAAACTTCAGTGAGTGTGGGTCATAGAGGGCTGATATGCTTGAAAGAGAGCTTGTCCTTCTCAGAGATAGTGAGACAGCAGGCATAAAGCACAAGCCAGGACAGCCACCTTTATTTATGCCTAAATGGGATTACCTTGTCTGGACTGTGAGACCTCAAGTGTAGGGTCTAGATTCAGAGTATAATGCTGGATTCTGATATATTGAGAAGATAAAAATGAAAGCTTCTCTTTCACCTATACTTCTGTTGACTGGGGCAGAACTCTCCAAACTGCAGATCCTCATCTGTGGCTGACACTTTGGATTCCCTTCTTAAATTATATTACCATGGATTTCTTCAAAACATGTCTGAGAACCATGTCCACTTTTCAAGCTTTTCCCTGTCTAGCAAAGCTTTATTTTACTTCAGTCTGGAGGGAGTCTTCTTCATCTTGTTTTCTGCACCTATAAAAGCTTTGCATGGTTCTTCTGCCCAGACCAACGACACCACAAATTGCTAGATGTTGAGTCCTGTGAAGACACAGCAGCTCATGAGACTGCCTGGGACGTGTGTTTGCACATTGCACGGCTCTTTGCTATACATGAATTCAGATAAAATTCACCAACTCATTGCTGTGTGGTGGGAGACTACATCTACTGATTTGATAGAAAACCTTCCATACTCTCTGGAATAAGCTTTTATAGGGTAACACTCGATTTCACATAATTCCTAGATTCAAATTGTGAACATGGCACAATGTTGAAATGTCTCATCTGTTTCCTAAGTGCTGGTAAACAAGAGGCAGCTGGCAGGTGATATACAAGTAGTTCGGTCCTGATTTTCCCTGTATTCCCACTGTACTTGTTAGCATAAAATAATCCCTTCCTTATTTCTTCTGAAGACAGGAAAGGGAAAAGAAACATAAGGCTGCAAGTCCCCACAGTGGATTCAAGGTGGGAGTCCAGCATGCGGGAGGCTGCTTACTTCAGCACCAGGAAAGAGAGGGATGTCATGTTTTATTAGCCTTTACAGGCTGTATCAATGATGGGAACTAATTGCAATTATTGGGAGATAACGTTACATGAACACATTCTCTTGAGTAACTACTACTGTTCGCTCTGGATTCACACGAAATGTGCATTATTGTGCAGTTGGTGATGGGGCAGGTCTGTGTCACTGCTGTATCACTGCTGTCGGTCTGAGGTCTGTGCCGGTGGGAATCCCACCTGAGTCTGTTTCCCTTCATCCTCATGTTTCCTGTTTGGCCAGTCTTCACCTGGCACTTCTCTCGATGCTGTGAGAGAAGGACATGTGTGCATAGCATCCAAAGCAGCTGGACTAGAGTGGGTTGCCAGCACCAAGCTGTCCTATGCTTTGCCTGTGCTTCCCTGGCTTTACCCCAGGGTACACCCTTAATCATACTGTCCGTGTTCCCATCACTTCTGTATTAATTACTGGTTTGAGTCTTTAATGTCATTATTAAAGCTGGAAATTTTGGAAAGCTCTACTATAAGGAGTAGTAAGTATTTCTGACAGCAGTCCCTGCTTTGTGCATCAATCTCTTTTAGGCCCTGATTTAACACCTGCTTGTCTCATTACTTGCAGCACTGAGAAGGGATATTAAGACCTGTGGGGTTAGCAGTGCTGGCGCTGAGCCTTCTCCAGTCCAGATCAGCTGGAGCCTTACCAAAGGTCTTGGAAAGAGCTTGCATTCACAGCAGGGGACTGTTGTTCACTCCTTGAGTCCCTGCAGGAGGGGGACAGGCCCTCAAAAGCATCAGGCAGCTTCTGCACACTGGTTACTTAAAAGAGGATGAAGGTCCTGACTGCAGATGGTAATTGTGTGCTAAGGCTGCCTTTCCACGGGACCTTTCCTCTCTTTTTTCTCCAGATGTTGTTCTGCTGCTGAGGGATTTTCTTGCCAGGTTAATCCCGTTTGTGTTCTTTGCCTTTTTTTCCCCAGGCTCATGTGTTTGATCTGAGCATTAATAAGTATGAAGCTCTCTGCACACAGCTAGTGGTGACCAAGAAGAAGAATAAAATAACCCATGTCCAGTTTAACCCTATCTACCCTGTTGTCATCATTGGAGATCAACGAGGCCACGTTATCTGCTTGAAGCTCTCTCCCAATCTGCGCAAGGTGCCCAAGGTAAGGATGAGCTGCACTCCCCTGATGGAGGTACAAACCACAGCAGGTCTCTGTTCGTTATCACTGTCTCCTCTCCTTTGCAATGATATTGGCAAAGCTGCAGTCTCTAGCAAGGTACATAATATTACCTCAAGCCTTTTGGGCAGGATGTCTGGGAAGTTGGATCCCTCCCTCTGTTCCTGTATGAGTAAGGCTCAGTTTGTTCCTGGGCAGGAGTGGGGACTGGTGGGAAGGGGTTTGCTGTCTGTGGGCACTTTCTCACCATGGTCCAGACAAGCCCAGAAGCTCTGCAGAGGTTCATTTTTTTATTTCCCCAATGTTCACGTCTTTTCTGAGCTTTGGGTTTTATTTGCAAAACTCTCTGAAACCAAGTAAAGGCGGTCCCAACTCCTTCCCAAGTCTTCCCACAGAGCCCACGCTACCTGTCTTCTTGTACTCCTCGATGATCAGAGCCTGTCCCCTGACCACCGTGTCATCTCTCCTGTAAATGAGCAAGCATTATGCTTAATTTGTGAGGACACTTGGGATCCTTGTCTCAAGTGAAAGGATGTGCCTCTGTGAGCTGGTGAAACCTCTTTTCCCACCCAGCCATGTGGGCCAGTGGTGAAAGATGATGACCTCTCCCACATGGATGCTTTACTAGACTTTCTTTCTGGGCTTCATCCAGCTATGAGCTAAATGGCTGTAAATGCACTGTCCTCTCTGAGCCCATGTAATTCTCATATCCCCTTGTTTAGTGGAACTATTTCAGTTTCAGGCTTTTTAGAACTGATACAAGAAAGCAATCTCTCAAAATTATCATCTTTTATTTATATACCCCCAAAGATTTTAGTACTTTACTAACCCACTATATTAGGCAAGGTCTTTGGCCAGGAACTAATCAACTTGGTGTCACTCCAGAGTCTTCTGTGTGATTTTTAAGAAGTTTCTTAAGCTGGAAACCACTGGAAATGTGAACCTTCCCCATGCTGCAAGGGCATAGAAAACACAAAAGCATGGCTGTCTGTTCAGGGCTGGGCACAGGAGCTGTGGAGGAGAATGTCTCATATGCTTCACGCTGTTCTGTTTCCTTCAAAACCACAGCCCAAGACCATCTGAGCTCTCAGGGCTGTCATCAGGTTGGCTCAGGACAAGTTCCATGGCTGCTTTATGAGTCCTTCTTGGTCATGGGCAAGCACCATGTCTGCCATGGACCTTTACTGCAGAAGCGTTCAGCAGTGGAGATAGGTCACACACACATGAACGTGGCTGCTCTGCTCCATGCCCCAGCTGTGGGCTGTGCAGTAATACTGCACTGTGGGTCAGAATGAATTTGAATGTCTCCTTCCACTCCTAGTGGCCAGCAGCAACCCTCTGTGCAGGTACCAGTGTTGTCATCTCCCTTTGCTAGCTTTCTTCAGAGGCTAATAGCATCTTGTTGGCAAAGCAGTTTAAACCATGAGTTCAGGAGTGGCTCAGTCACTTATTGCTTGCCTTAAACCAATAGCTACCATGTCCTAGGCACCATATAAATGGGATGGAAATGGGCTCTGCTGCTCTGATGTTATTAAGCTATCTGGATTCTCCTTGCTTGGTTAGGTTTGAGCGGACACTGAACTAAATGTTTCCTGCACATGTGGAGAAGGAGGGATGTTCAGGCATGGCTGGTGATGTGTGCAGGTGTCCTGGCTATAGCCAGCTCTTCTCTGAAAGGGATGAGAACTTAAAAAAGGTAACATGCAGTGCAGTGGCAAAGTGACAGATCTGGTCCAGCCAGCTGAAGCCAGCAGCCTTTCTGTACCACAGGTGGACACTTGTGAGCTGTGCTGCTGAGCCCATCTTTCGTGGCTGATGTGGCGTCTGCTGCACCAAATGCTGGTGTCCAGGACCCTGTGGTGAGGAGGTTTAGCTGCTGCAACAGGGTGCTGTAATAGAGAGAGGCCAAGTCCTGGCAGAACAGGCAGTGCCATCGTCTGCCTCGTCCTGTCCGCCTCCTTCCTATGCCAGCACCAGCCTTTGTGTCCTTGGTTAGCAGCAAGCCTCCAGCTGTGTTTGCAAGAGTGTTGCCTCACTGTCACATGTACTTCAAGAATATTGATCCTGGCTCCTCTGAAGATCAAGTCAGCATGCTCTTTAAACCTTTCCTCTGTAAGATGACTTCACTTCTCCCTGTTTTCTGCAAGCCTCCAGAGCCAAGTTAACAGTTTCAGAATATCCATAGATTTTTGTAAGTGGGAAGGGTCCTGAACTGTGCAGAGGGGTCCTGGTATCGCAGCCATCTCCTTGCAGATAGAGAAACCTGCCCATGTCTGGGTTTGTACCTGGGTACCCCACTCTGTTCTCTCAAGCACTTGATCCCCACAGAGCCTGGTGGGAAAATCTGCCCAGCACCCAGGAGGACACATCATGATGAGTGCCTCCAGAGGCTGGGGCCTTCATACCAACCCCAGCATCTGTGAACTCAACTGCCTGGTCATTCCCATCAACTCCTTTGGAGGTGGGAAGGTGCCTTTTGCTGAGGTCTGGCAGAACTCAGAGTGCCAATGGGACAGAGCAGCCAGGGTCTCATCCAGGTCCCACTACCTCTCTGTTTCAATAGGGGGTTTACCTGTAAAGCTTCTTCACCACCTTCCCACACAGCTGGGATAGCTGCTTTTGACAGGTATGACCAGCGCACTAATCACATTAGTTTTGAGAGAGCTCTTAATAGCCACATGTCATTCCAAACCCCGTTCTTCCCCTTAAAATAGACGTGGTTGCTGTCTTCTCCATGTTCTGTGGATTCCTTAGCTGTTGCTGGGCTTCCAAGATAAAGCCCACCACAAGAGATCGAGCTAGCTTCATTCCGATAGGATTTCAGCCTTTTTGAATTTATTCTGGTTTGTGGTGGATAAGTGGAAATAGAGAGGGTAAGGACTCTTGCATCAGACCTTGGTTCATTCCTCTATTTGGGTCCTTGAGTGAGGAGTAGAGGTTCAAGAGCTCTTTAAATAATTTGCAGGGTTGGTCTGCAGCTTAATTAATTCATGTTTGTAAAACACTCTGGGATCTTTAAGAAGTGTTATTTAATACCCGAGTTTTGCTGTCAGCAGTGTTAGCACAGCCACATTTATGAACACTTGGTAGAACAAATATGCCAAGGGGCAGAACTTCTCAAAAGCACTCAGGTGGCGTTTTCAGAATAGACTTTCATAAAGACATACAGTAAAAGCTTCAAAAATGCCTAAAACTCCCTGTGAGTTTTGGCCTCTAAAGCATTTAGTGGCACATAGGAAAAGGTGCATGTGTTGTTGAGGGGAAGCTGGGCACAGGGGCTCTTCCACCTCTCAGGCACTTGTGTCATGGGCACGCAGAATCATAGAATGGTTTGGGTTGGAAAGGACCTTAAGATCATCTAGTTCCAACCCCCCTGCCATGGGCAGGGACACCTCACACAGAAGGTATAGAGGTCCCTGTGCTCATACCAAGCACAGTGCGAGTCCTTGTGTCTCTGCCCTGGTCATTTGGGTCCTGGAGCCCTGCCTAGCCCCAGAGGCTAAAGTCTCTGGGGACAGAGACAACCCCTTGCCCAAAGGCAGTGAGTTGTATTTATTTCCATGAGGTGTGATCCTGGTGGAGGCTTTCCGTGCCTATTGCTGTAGTCTCTATATTGTGTGAGTCCTCTGGGAACACACTACCCAACTGCTAAGCACTCACCTCCCTGAGCAGCCAGCCCTGCTTGTGCAGAAAGCTCATGGCAACAGCTATTTTCCTGTACGAGGAGACCTGGTAAAAGGTGAAGCTAGGTTGGGTCCTGCTTCTCCGAGCTGGGACAGAAATGCTTGCAGTATTTCAAGATGCAGCAGCAGGAGCAAGTGGCTCTCCGCTTTTGTCCAAGCCAGTTTTGGACTCCAAGTGCTCCTTTAAAATTGCAGCGGTTGTCAGGCAGGAATTGTTAAACTAATAAAGTATTGTTCCTAATTTATAACGACCTTGTGGTTGAGTTCACCCAAGGGAAGCATTGCTGTAAGAAGAATCAGTTTGGGGCAGAGATGTTTAATTAGTAAGCCTTCCAGGTTTCATTCGGGGGTTGGAAGAAATTAAAGCATTTTGTCACCACAGTCAGAAGAATGTAGCTGCTCATGGGCTTTGGTTTGTTGTTAAAAAAACCTGCTGAAATAGCCTGGCTCAACCCCTGTCAATGCCGAAAGTAAGCAGTAAAAGAAGTGTGAGGAGTTTTTAGAAATGCTGGGAGGCCACAGCAGAGTGGGAGAAGGAAAGAAAGCAGGTCAGAGAAAGGTTACAATACATTTGCTGAGGCTAAGGCAATTTCTTGGCCAGTACCCAGGCTGACAGTCAGGGAGGCAGCCAGCTTCTTGGCCTGATGCTTGTCTTGGATATTTATCTTGGATTATCGAGGGTGATTATCTCAGCCTCTGTCCCTGCTACTGGTTTCTTCACCTGCAAGTCACCTCTTTCTTGTCCCTTGGGGACAATTGAGTTCCTTCCCAGGCAATGTATCCAGGCTGACAGGGTCTAGCTGGGCATGAGTGGACTGCGAAGACAAACACAGCTGCTGACCCGTTGCAGGACGCAGTTTCAGGGCTGTGCACAGCTCAGGAGCTGCAGGCACGCACCTCTGAGTCCAACACAGGGTTCCTTTGAACAGCTTGTGGTGTGGGGACAAGTGAGGGGCATGAGGTGGCTCCGAGCCTTCCTGGGTGCATGTGGGACTCCCCCTGTACCTTATCACACCAGACAGTGTCACCTCCAGACTCCTTGTGCCTTTCTGCCTATTGGCAGCCCTGATGGGTTTGCCCTTGGCCAGATCCAGCTGAGGAAGGGGCACTGAGTTTTACTGCCTGCAGCACTTTGGCTTTTTGACCATAGCTGATGGCAGGATCTGGGAGGGAGCAGTCAGGATTTGGAGGACTGTGATGGACAGTGGGAGGGTGTTGGGATCTTCAGGAGGTGAAGGAGGCAGGGGAATTTGGGGAAGACTGGTGGAAGAGTGTGAAGTTTTAGGGGAACAGTAGGAGAGT